GCATTGCTAGTGTTATTGCCTTGACGTGAAACATACAAGAACAGACTTGAGGCCATCAAGCAATTTCCCTTACCAGGACAGGCTAATTATTGGAGAGATGAAGATCTAGTGCCTAGGATTTATTTGTCAGGCTCCATTTGCTTCTAATTAAAGGTGGAAAAGTTGTTTGTAGCATTGTGACCTATTCCTAAACAGGTTTTCAGTTTTCCATGCCTCCTTTTCAGGGGGAATGTATCATGATGAATTAATGTGCCTTCCTCTAAGTTATTTAAGTTTTCTTTTCTCTGCTGTTTTCAAGAGGACAGGCGAGGTAGGCAGTGGGGAGCTCTTGACAGTACTTTAACAGCCTTCCACCTACATGACTCTGTGGTTGGTTTTGCCAACTTTGGATGACTAATATAATTATCCTCCTTGAATAAACACCACCTACAGTGATCCACGTTGAAAATTTAACATTCTCATAAGCCTTGGGAATTTTCTTTTATTCCTTCCTTCATTCCTTCATTCATATTTTAGTAATTCTATGTGTAATATGTAGCCGCCTCTATGCTAAATTGAGGAAATTAACACTGAACAAAATCCAGCATGGTTTCTGTTCTTATAAAGTTGGCTCACTGGAATGATTAAGGGATAATAATGGGATAATAATACTAAAAACCTTCGACCTACACATTGAATTTTATAAATAAAGGAATGTAACTGTGTGTGAATCATATATCAACAGAATTTGACTTCGATCAAGATATCAGGGGAACTTGTAGGAGGAATCTAAGGATGAAAACTTTAGAATTTCTGAAGAATGGGAAGTGTAGCTCAGTGTTAAGTACAAAGGTCTTGTGTCTGGAGGGAGTATGAGGCTCCCCACAGGGACTAAACAAAGGCCCAGCTTGACTCTGCATGGGCATAGAAAACTATGCCCAAGACCATGATGAGGACTTTGACTTTCCTTGCTTAAATGACATTTCTGATTCCCCAAGGGTTAAAAAGCAGTTGAAATGAAAGACATGTAGACTTTATCATATCTGTATTTTGAGGGAAAGAGGGAAAGAAATGTAAATCTCAATTCCTTACCATTACAAAAAAGGAAGTAAAGATTCAGAACCTTGAGGATCCTCTACCACAAGTAACTTCCTGAAAATTCTTATGTCCCTTCCCTCTGCCAATCTCCAGACTGAGTGTACCATATTTCTAGTTTTCTTCTGAATAACAGACACACGTGGCTACTGTTGAACCTTCCAGCATGGCTCTTTTTTGTGTGCATATGTGGGTACAAGGGCCTGAATTCAAGGCCTGAGCTTTTTGTGCTCAAAGCTAGCATTTGACCACTTGAGCACAGCTCTACTTGTAGCCTTTTTAGTGATTAATTGGAGATTGTCATCTCTTAGATTTTCCTCTCCAGGCTGTCTTTGAACTATGATCCTCAGATCTGAAGTAACTAGGATTATAAGCATGAGCCACCAGAACCTACCATCCAGCATGATCTTTTGTCAACTTTTCTAGTCCCTTCTCTTTATGGAGAAATGGCATTCCTATTATTCTACTGAACAAAACATGTGCCCCCCTCCCCATCACTTGTTAGCAGGTCTGGACAAGAGGCATCACTATATCTTTTAGGTTGCTCTGAAGACTGGGGACTTCATATTTATAAAACACTGCATGAGGGCTGACATAGCAAAGGTTCTGTTAACAGCTAGTTTGGAAAGTGACATAGAAAGATATTGAAGGGCTGGGAATGTAGTTTAGTGGTAGAGTACTTGCTTAGCATGCACGAAGTCCTGGGTTTGATTCCTCGGTACCACATAAACAGAAAAGGCAGAAGTGGTGCTGTGGTTCAAGTGGTAGAGTGCTAGCCTTGAGCACAAAGAAGCTCAGGGACAGTGCCCTGAATAAGCCCCAGGACTGGCAAAGAAAAAGGAAAGAGAAAAGAAAGATATTGAGATATATTATTAATGTAACAAAAAGCAGACTACATATCCCATAAATGCAGAATTGCAAAAATAGTCTGTCAAAACTAGCCAATGAGTCAACTAAAAGTAGCAAATGATTTTAATATAATCTGTGTTTGTGTGTGTGTGTGTGTGTGTGTGTGTGTGTGCACGTGCGCACGTGTGCACACACATACTGGTAGTGGAGTTGGAACTCAGGCCTCACCCTGTCAAGGCTGTTGTTTTACCAATTGAACTGTATAGCTCCCTTTTTGGCTTTAGGTGGTTAATTGGAAATAAGGTTCTCATGGACTTTTCTCCCCAGGCTGGCTTCAAACTATGATCCTCAGATCTCAGCCTCTAAATACCTAGGATTACAGGCATAAGCCACTTAAAACATACACACACACACACACACACACACACACACATCTGTAGTTGAACAAAGGAGTTTGAAATTTCAGTTTATGAACCCAATGCATCTTGATCATTGCCACTCCTTCCATTGTCATCCCATTTGTCCCTATCTCATCCTCAACTTTTACATATGACATTTTGTGTAACGACTGTTCACCTTTTCTCCCTTTGGTCCTATTTTTTTCTTACGATTTTTCCCTCCAGTTTAGAAACAGCCACCAGAAATTTTTCTTCATGTAAAAAAGAACATATATCTGAATCCTATCAATTCATCTCATTTCTTTGTTATGCCATAGTCAGAAGACTTCTTTAAAAAAGCTTCATTATGATTCCCATGTTATAAAATTATTCTCTGTGCTTGCCTATCGCTACGGAAGCATGGAATTGTCTGGAATGTGGCTTAGACGTGCCCCTTCCCCCAGGGTAAACAACACATTTGGCTCCTGTAAGGCTGACTTCATGTCACTTCTAAGCATTGCTTCAATTTTTTTATAATGAGCATTTTAATAAAAACAATGAAATCATTTCTTAGCTTTGGAGATGAGGAGTACTAGTTTTCTTTTCTGCTTCATGCTCAACATAAAGCCCACCATCAAGTCTTTCCCAGGGGTATAGGAAGCACCTCCTCAGGATTATTTTTACAGAGGTCAACAAGGTCACACAATGGCTGCTGACCAGGGACCAGTGGACTAAGATGTTATTGCATCCGGGTATGAAAAAGGTTTTCAGTGAGTGTCCACATTAACATATAGTCAGCCTTCCGTTGCTTTCCATTTGTTTATTTATTTTATATTTTTTAACAAATCGGCCCTCTTTATAGTTAACCAAAGATCTTGGTTAATTGAAGTGGAATTTTTCAACAGTTTAACAGTTGAGAATCGTTAACTTTGTGCAGGGCTAGCGTGTGGCAGCTTTGATCATCATTTAAATGCAACTCTTCCATCTTTCAGTGATTACACAGCATTATCTCAGTCAGATAAGAGCACAAATCTGGACCGAACTTCAATCCCTTCCTAAATATTTCATGAAGTCAATGTGAGCTTGCCAATTAGACTATCAGCTCTGCAGAGGATACATTTGCAAGGAGTAACTACATTACAGAGCATTCAGCACACTGAGCCCCTGAGGATTAGGGTAATTGCCTATTTAGAATGGGGGAAATGTTTTTGAAGAGTTGGGCTCCAGTTGCTTATGCCTGGAATCTTAACTACTCAGGAGTCTGTGATCTGAGGATGACAGATCAAATCCTCCCTGGGAAGAAAAGTCTGTGAGACTCTCATCCCCAATTAATCAGCACAAAGTTGGCATTGAGGGTGTGGTTCATGTTATAAGGTGTCAGCATAGAGTGGAAAAATGCCAAGGAAGAGTTCAAGCCCCTCAGTTTAAGCCCCAATAACCACCCTACACCCAAAAAGAGAAAAATGAAATGAAACTGATTATCAACTGACCTCATAGCCTGGAGTTACCAAACTACATCTCAGGTGCCAAATCTAGCCCCTAGCCTGCCACCTAACTTTGTACAGCATGTGAGCTAAGAACAGTTTTCCCACTTTAATTAATTAAAAGGCCAAAGTAATATCAAACATAGGTTAACATATTATGGCATGTGAAAATTATATGGAATTCAAATTCCTGTCCCTTAATAAAGTTGCACAGGGAAATATGAGGCCCAGTTCATTTGTACATTGGGCTACTGGTGAGTTTTGATGGATGACCCAAAAGTTGAGCCATCAATTCATCATGACTTGAGTAGTTGTGATTGAGTTTATAAAGCTCACATCAATGAAAAGACTTATAATGTGACTCTGTAGAAAAAGTTGACTGAACCTTGCCTTAGAATCAAGAAGTTACTTGTATATATTTGTGTTTGCTGGTTAGTGAACAACGCTTCCTATTAGAAACATACTAGGCTATTGATATAGCCACTACAGATTATGTGCAAGTACTCTACTTCATCCATTCTACTTTCTTCTTCAAGTTAGAAGAAAGTAATTGCATGTGAAAAATTAGAATATCAACAGAGTCTATGAGAAATATCCTGGTACCAAATGGAAAATGGTACCTTACTCGGAAGTTATGATTGGCTAACAATAATTTAAAGCTCGAAAATAATACTAGTAGTCTGCCTGCATTCTAAAATTTTAGCTTATTTACTCCTTGCACCCAAGAAATCTTTTGAGAGGCAAAGTCTTTTATTCTTGTAACCCTTATAAGACACAGGGTCTTGTCAGATGGGAGCTCTCTATCCAGTTTCTGTTTGCTTTGTAAGCTACCAGATATGAAGAATGATTGGATAAGCAGGCTTACTGGTGGCTCCTGTCTATCATCCTAGCTACTCAGGAGGCTGAGATCTAAGGATTACAATTTGCAGCCAGCCCAGGCAAGAAACTCTGTGAGATGCTTCTCTCTAACTACCAAAAGGCGGGGGAAATGGACATGGACTCAAGTGGCAAAGTGCTAGCCTTAAGCAAAAAAGTTCAGGGATAGTGCCCAAGTCCTGAGTGCAAGTTCCAGAACTGGCACACACACACACACACACACACACACACACACACACACACACACACACACACTGAAACTAAGACTCGTAGTGCTCCCAAATCACTATGGAATACACGAGTGACCTCAGTTGTCCCCTGTTGTTTTATTCTGTTTCAGAGGTTGAAGGCTGCCTTGACTCACCATCCTGCTGCCATGTCAAACGGGAACATGAACACCATGGGACACATGATGGAGATGATGGGCTCCCGGCAGGACCAGACGCCGCACCATCACATGCACTCACACCCACATCAGCACCAGACACTACCCCCCCACCACCCCTATCCACACCAGCACCAGCACCCCTCCCACCACCCCCACCCACAGCCCCATCACCAGCAGAGCCACCCGCATCATCACTCCCATTCCCATCTTCATGCACACCCAGCACACCATCAGACCTCGCCACACCCACCCCTGCACACCGGCAACCAAGCACAGGTAGGACTCTCCCCCTGCCCCTTCCCCTTTCTCGCCTTTTGTTCATAGTTGATGTTGCCAAGGTTGCTGCTGGAGTCATCTGCGACAACCCTAGTGTGGTCAAACCCAGATGCTTTATTTGACCTTCTCGGGAGCTCTGCCTGTTTCCTAGGAGGTAATGGTTCCATCCACAGGATAACACTGCATCATTAGGTCTGTAAATAATAGTTCAAGCCAGACACCGGTGGCTCACGCCTGTCATCCTAGCTACTCAGGAGGCTGAGATCTGGCAATTGAGGCTCAAAGCCCACCCAGGCGGGAAAGTCCGTGAAACTCTTATCTCCAGTTAACCACTAGAAAACCGAAAGTGGAGCTGTGGCTCAAGTAGTAGAGCACTTGTCTTGAGCAAAGGAGCTTAGGGACAGCCCAGGCCATGAATTCAAGCCCCACAATGAATAAATAAATAAATAATATTTCAGACAAAACTGAATCATTATGTCTGTAAATAAAATTTAAGATCCACTCTCTCGGGACAAATATAAACTTTAAATTCTCCCAAATCCATAACTTCTTTTGCAAATTGTTAAAAAAAAGTTCTAAGAGTAGTAGTAACAATAGTAGATGTAGAAAAAAACTTACAATAGTTATGAAAGGTATTTAAAAAATGAGAAAAAAATCAGTTAATTGTAACCTTGTCTAGCTGTTATTCTTTTTTTATTATGTACTTTATTATAATATATATTATTATTATAAAGGTGGTGTAAAGAGGGATTACAATTGCATGAGTCAGGTAATGAGCACATTTCCTTTCATATGATGTCTTCTGTCCCCTCATTCCCTCCCTGTCCCTCCCTCTCATCTCCGCCCAGGAGTTGTATAGTTCACGTTCATCAGTGTCCAGTAAGCGCCAATGCTGCACGTTGTCACTGCAATTTCATATACTCTCCCCCACCTTCCCGAAGATATACACATGAATACCCATAGCTGCTATTCTTTTAAACACCACAGAGACTCAGTCTTGATGCCTGTAAAATGGAAGTTAAATACAAGAAGCCATTTCCCTGAATATTTACAAACGTTAAAAATCTCCATAGTAGCAATTCCTAAAGAAAAGAAAGAGCTCCATGGTAGATGCTAGGGCACGAAGTACGGTGTGAATGGTGAGGAGAGATGACTCACCCTCAGAATGTGAAATGTGTTACAGGAAGGGAGAGAAAGAGGGAGAGAGCCAAGTTCTGTAGATTATCAGACCAAGAGAAAGTCCAAATCCCTGGGTGGAGAGTCACCAGGAGTGAACAGAAAGAAAGCCGTCATTTATACTGAAGTGAAGAAGAGTTGGGGGACCAGGCAGACATTATGTCACCCAGGTCAAGCAGAAAAGTGAGTCCCTCTACAGGAATGGGTTTTAGTAAGTGGACGAAGGTCATGGCTAAGAGAATGGCTAGCCCTGGATGCTTTGGATCCTTAAAGAAGATGATCTTGGTCAGTCCTTCCACCCCTGCCACACTGCCAGATCCCAGCTAGCTGAGTCAAAACTGGGTCCAAAGAGTGCAGCCACTAAGCAACACTTATTCACAGTCTCATCCATCCCCTGCCACTGGAGACAAGATGTCACTCCGGGCAGCATTTTGGGCTGTTCAGCTCCTTCTCCTTAAACACATCAAGCCTAGAGAGCTACTCACAGGAACAGATTATCTACAAGCAGCGTTCTAATCTAGTCATTACATTTACTTTTGCAGAGGTCCTTAAATGTGTCCTACAATGTTCTATATAGCAAAGAAGAGTCAGAAAGCCATTCTTTTTTTTCATTGTAGTTGCTGTGTGACCTGAACCTAGATCTAATGATTAGCCTCCCTAAATCTTGCTTTCTCCATCTGTAAAATGGATGAAGTAAGTTCATAGGTTTTAACAAGCCACATAAGAGATTCTCTGAGAAGTTTTCAAAAACATGCTGGTCATTATTAATTCTAAATGAGAATAATTCAAAGAGTATAGCAAGTGGTTTAGCAGTAATACTGCTATTAGAGCAACTTTTTGTCATTTTTAGTCAAATGTCATACTGGTACATATATTAAAAGGGAGAAAGAAAGCTACTAGGTCAAAGATAGTGAATCAATTTGACTGGTCAACTTATTATTTTATGGAAAAGATGAACATCAAGGTTTGATTTTCTTTGTTGGCAAGTTATTACACAGACAAGTTTGACAGTGCCTTAAATATAAAAGCTACTCATTAGCTAAGCACCAATTAGTCAATTGCCCTCTGTTTAAAGTCAGTAAATGGCCAATTGTATGTGCAATTAGTTGATTACTATTATAATTAGCTGTACCAAGTTGCTTTGTTTTATCCTATACTAAAGACAAATAATTTAAGTTGGTCTTGTTAAAATTTGAATAAGATCATGTAGACAGTATTCTAAAATATCATTCTTAAATTATACCAACCAAAGCCACGCATTGGTGGATCATACCTGTAATCCTAGCTACTCAACAGGCTGAGATCTGAGGATCATGATTCAAAGCCAGCCAGGGGCAGGAAAGTCCATGAGACTCATCTCCAATTAGCTGCAAAAAAAATCTGGAAATGGCTCCATGGCTCTAAGTGGGAGAGCATTAGTCTTGCTCACCAAAGCTCGACAGTGCCCAGGCCTGAGTTCAGGCACCAGGACCAGTAGACACGCAGACACAAAGTATACCAACCAGGCTTATTACTGACTTCTTGTCTTGATGCTTAATCCTATGATAATTTGACTAGTAGGATTCAAGATAGCTTAAGGTTCTTCCAACTCTGATATTCTAAGATGATTTGGAATGAATCTTTGAAGTCATAATTCATTATTTTTTGTCATAACTTGTACATCATTTCGGCTAAAAGAATTCCTTATTAAACATAAAATAAGTGATAATAAATACCAGGAATGCAAATTCTGGTCTTAGAAATTCTTCCTGCTTTCTTTTGATTTTTCCTGTAAGTAAGGATTAGAGTTCAGAGTTCTGAAGCACTCTGTGGCCACTAGGAATTTCTCCTAACCAATATGCTTTCTTCTTATAAACCCTAAACCTCCATGGAGCCAAAATCACACTTGCTTTATTTAGATGAGGAAGTAGGCAACATTGAAAGAGAAGTCTCTGCAATACCTATTTAAAAAACATTTTTCCACCAGGCACTAGTGGCTCATGTCTGTAATCCTAACTATTCAGGAAGCTGAGATCTAAGGATCAGGGTTCAAAGCCAGCCTGAACAGGAAAGTCCATGGGATTCTCATCTCCATTAAACCACCAAAAAAAAGTGAAAGTGTGGCTCAAGTGGTAGAGCATCAGCCTTTAGCAAAAAAGATGAGAGACAGTACCCAGGTCTTGAGTTCAATCCTCATTACTTGGAAGGAAGGAAGGAGGGAGGAAGGAAGGAAGGAAGGAAGGAAGGAAAGAAGGAAGGAAGGAAGGAAGGAAGAAGGGAGGGAGGGAGGGAGGGAGGAAGAGAAGGAGGGAGGGAGAGAGGGAGGGAGGGAGGAAGGGAAATGAAAAGAAACAGCTTTACCTACTTGAATTATCTAGGACTGGCCTTATGAGAGCATTAATTCACAAAAGTAGTAAAGGCAAAAATAATGGCCAGACAGCACATTTCCTCCTAATGCTTGACTTCCCAGAGTTAGCATCTGAAATGACAAGTTGCCTACATTTTTGCCAATAACAAGGATTATGTCATCGTCATTCGCTCTAGTGAGTAAGACCTTAGACAATTAATTAATTTTGTTATTCCTCTGTGATCAGGAGGAAAGGAATTGCCAATAAAGAGTTTCAGAAAAAGTCTTTGCTTTAGATAAAATTATTGAGAGGTAGTACGACCTCACTCCTGAGCCTGATTCTTTTACAGTTAGTCATAGAAAGTTTGATAGTTTAGGATTAAAATATTTCACCATCAGTCCACTGGTGTCAACCTGCAGCCATTCCTAGTGCAATTACGGTCATTCTGATTGATTTCAATCATAGGGTTGGAATGTGTTTTTTTCTTTCTTTAAAGGCTGTTGGGGCTTTATTTTTTAAACTTTTTGTCTGTTATTTCTGTAGGTTAAATGTCTCTTGTAAAACAACTTTATAGGTATTACAGTCATAAACCTGAGTGACTGAGAAATGGGAGAGGGACAAGAAAAAAAAAAATCACCCTTTATTGAGAATGAAAGAGGAAGTACAGAGCGTTAGGAAAAGCATTAGTACCCAGACATATAAAGAATTAGTCATAGAAATTTCATAAGGTGCTGTGGGTCTGCCTCATGAAAGGAAATAAAGCTATATGTGTGGGGGTCTCCAAACCCTCAGATGTTACTGAGTCCGATGCAGGCCTTACAAGGAGTCTATAAGCACAGTAAACCTTTTTAATAAAGTGCTTTGCCAGCCCTGGGATTTCCGTCTAATGTAAGCATAAAGAATGCACCCTGGCTCTCCTGTCTCACGTGTGCAAGGTAGAGCAGGCTTAGAGAAGCTTCTGTGTCAATTACAGGCAAGCCTTGCCTTTCAGTCATCTAGAAAGCTAGGAAGCCCCTTCACCCTTCATCAGAAGTCTGAGGAGCAAGCAGACCCATCTGAAGCCTGAATGGAGAGTCCCATCGAGTCATGCATACTAAGAACTGTGAAGTAGTAAAAGCAGGCCTTCATCAGTCTTCTGGCTTTCTTTTAATAGCAAAGTGAACAAACATAGGTTCTAGGGAGAGTTTAAAACCATCCCAATGAAGGGAACAACCTGCTCCAAGGTCTGGGCAAATCACTCTTCAGCATTGCGACAATAACTCCAAACTCTCTTCTGGTTGCTTTAAAGGTTTTTGATTGCTTCTTTGATTGCCAATACTGGGACTTAAACTTAGGACCTTGAAAACCTTTGCTTGACTGCTTCCCTCCCCCTCCCCCCCCCAGCCCAAGACAAGCACTCTGTCACTTGAGCCATACCTCCACTTCCAGCATTTTGTGGCTAATTGGAGATAAAAAAGTAATTCAGATTTGTCTGTCTGGACTGGCTTCATATCTTCATATCTCAGCCTCTTGAGTAGAAAAACATAGATATAAGCTAGGGCTCTTGTCTACTTTAAAGTTTTTAAAAGCACTTTAAATAAAACATTCTTGACACCTAAAGAAGAATTAAAAAAGATAATGCCCTTACTGTCCACCAGCCAAGTGCCTATCAGGGAAAACTCAACCTGGCTCCGTCTTTTCATGAGTCATTCTCAAAGCTAGCCAAAAGAACTGCGACTATAGCTTAGTGATACATATTTTTTTCTTTCCTATAGTGAGATTTCACTGTTTATTTCATTCAGCAAACAAGCTTGGTATGTTTCCTAAAACAACTGGATTCCTGTGCTTTGTGTTCTAACAGGGACTTGGGTCTCTCTTTTTTTAAAAAATCCCAATATGTCCATTGCTGTCCCCACCACTTCCTGCCTCTTTTCCCACAGGTTTCACCAGCCACACAACAGATGCAGCCCACCCAGACAATACAGCCGCCCCAGCCCACAGGGGGTCGCCGGAGAAGGGTGGTGGATGAAGATCCTGATGAGAGGCGGCGGAAATTTCTGGAAAGGAACCGGGCAGCTGCCACGCGTTGCAGACAGAAGAGGAAGGTCTGGGTGATGTCACTGGAAAAGAAAGCAGAAGAACTCACCCAGACAAACATGCAGCTTCAGGTGCGGCCACTTTCTTCTTCCCCAGCAGCTCCAAGCACCCCCCCTCCCCCTCCCACTAGCCTTTTCTGGCCTGCAGGCGCCTCACTTGTTGACCTAGGAAGTCCTACCTCTCACTTCCCCCACAGAGGAGCCTTAGAGCTCCTCATGAGCTTTATGAGTTCTGAGACACTACCAAACAAAATAACTACGCCATGAACATCATTCTACCCACTCTTTCAGAGAGAAGGAGGGCTCACCTTGAGAATCACTAGGGCCATGCACACAGAATCAGTAGTTCAAACCCCAGGTTGGCCATCATGTGCAGTATTTAACTCCTCTTAACTCCCACTTTCCTTATTTATGGAATGAGAATAATAACTTTATAGAATTCTTAGGAGCAATAAGTGAACTAATGGTCACAAAGCACTTAGCGCCAATGCCTCAGAGAGAAACTATCCACAACCTTTTAGCAACTGGTACAATCACCAGATTGAGAGGGTTGCTTTGGCTTATAACAAAGTGTCTATATTTTTCTAAAATGGAAGCATGGTAACTGTTTATGTTATTCTTGGTTACTTGGTTTTACTGGTATACTGGGGTTTGAATTCAAGACTTGGTGTTTGCTAGGCAAGTGCTCCACCACTTGAACCACGCCTCCCAGCACCATTTGCTTTTGTTATCTTATTGAATAAAGTCTTAAATTTTGCCAGGATTAATCTAAACCCTAATCCTCCTTGTAGAAGAAGCTATGAGTAGTTGAGGTGTCAGGCACACGCTAGAACTCCCTGCTTTTTCTTTTCTTTCTCTTTTCTTCTTCTTCTTCTTTTTTTTTTTTTTTTTTGCTAGTGCTGGGGCTTGAACTCAGGACCTAGACACTGTCCCTGAGCTTCTTTGCTCAAAGCTGAGACTCTACCACTTGAGCCACAGCACCACGTTGAGCTTTTACTGTTTATTTGGCACTGAGGAATCGAACCCAGGGCTTCATGCATGCTAGGCAAACACTCTACCACTAAGCCACATTCCCAGTGCTCCCTGCCATTTCATTGGTTGAGATGGAGTCTTGTGAACCTTTTTGTTTTTTTGTGTGTATTTTGGTTTGTTTGCTTTTTTTCTTTTTTTGGCCTTAGATGTCCTTGAACCATGATCCTCTGATGTCTGACATCCAAGTAGGTAGAATTATAGATAAGAACCACCACACTCACTTTTGTTTCATTTTATTTTACCCTGAAAGAAATGACAGGTTCCAATTCATTTTCAGCCTCAACATGATTTGGCTCTTGTGTGATTTTTGTTCTCGAGAGTGGCTTTATCAATGACCTTTTATAATAAGGTCATTTCTAAGAGTGTCTAAAGAGAAAGAAATTCCCCAAATATAAGCCTTTTCCAGAAGACTCTGAAGCATGTACATGATGCAGTTAAGGACATTTGTTCTAATAGCAACAATGAGTGTACCAATTCACCATGAACAATGGAGCAACTAAATTGACATGAGACAAATCCTTAGAGGCAGTTTTAATCCTAGTACTCCAGGTACTGAAAACAAGGCTTAGGAGAAGGCAGGAAGTGAGTGTCCAAAATAGAGGGAATGTGCACTTCATAGTTTACGGTTCTCCTTTATCGTCTCCCCCAACCTGGGTCACTGTGCATTTTTTGGAAGGAGCAGTTAGGGTGCCAAACCTTAAAACCCTTGCATTTTCATTTTGTATTTTGCCATGGGACAAATACTGTACAAACCACAAGTATACAAGAAAAGTTTGGGTTGTATATGGACTGGTTTATATGATTTCCTCTAAACATGTCATTTTTTTTGACAGCCTTGAGCAAGAAACGGAGGAAAATGACAGATTTGGAGGAGAATAACTCCCCTTTTCATAGTTGTATGACACAAAGTTTGGGATTGTGCCTTTTTACCCCATTTCTCATCACCAATCCTTGGTTTGTAGTGTACTGCCTATACTGAGGAACCATTTGTTGAATTAATGACTGAGTTCCTCAACTCTGGAGTGCACTGGAAGTGATTGCCTGAGCGCTTGGCATGGGTGTGATCGCACTGTCAAGCCACAGAGGAATGGCCAGATTTAAATAACTGTTCATGCATAGTTGTCTATGAGAAGCTTTTTGGGGAACATGAACAAATTTTTCAATATTAGTAGTCACATGTTAATTTGATGGAATTGCAGGGAACCTGCAATTTCACAGAGGTGGTATTGGTAAGAATAAGGCAAAGTCATTATTATCTGAGTTCATTTAAATAAACAAAAATCCTGGTCTGTATGAACCCACAAACATTGCAGTCCTGCAATGAGTGAAGTCAGGAAAACCCAAAAACTTTTCCATTTCCGAGGTCTGCAGGAAAATGGGGGAAATCTTTAAGATTTCTCAGGCCTGATGTTATTGACTGCTCATTCTTCCTTGTACCCTTTGAACTTTAGAATATTTAGCAGCATCTTTGCCCTCTGCTTAGTAGATGACAGGAGTATATTGGGATATGTAGAATCTATGACAACCAAAGAAAAATGTCTGCAAGCATTGCTACAACCTTTGGTTGGAGCAGGGAATAAACATAGGTACAAAATTGGCCTTGGTTGAAAACCACAGCCTTAGGTGAAGGAGCTCCAAGTAGCTAGCTGACACATATCAGAGGCAAGCAAGTCCTTACATCAATATTAACTAAAACAAGTCCTTACAGAATCACTCCAGGGTCTCATCTTCTAGTCCTAGAGCAAGAAAACAGAACTCAACCGTCACTGCTAGCTTCTGGCTCTTAAATAGTCCTGGAGGAAGGTTACAGTGTTGCTATTTCCAGCCACCGCTTTGCTTCTAAGGGACTGAAGCCACAGCAGTGTGGCGTTCTCTGTGATGTCCCATGTTCTGTATCATGGCCTAAGGTGCTGCAGAAGATGTCACAGATTCTGCTACCTTTGAGTGACCTTTTCCCTCTCACTGGACCTTTGTCAAAAGAAAAAAGGTGTCTCTCTTGAGGCTGGTTTAGTGAGCCAAATTTTAAGTAAACAGAAATGGAAGGTGCTAAGCAAACAAACTCCAGCCAAATGGAATATCTAAGGTCTGGATGGCCCGCTGCCACTTTTCAGTTGTTTTCCAGCATAGAACCTTCTAGTCAGAATGCAGATGGGAAAAGCCAGACCTAAGAAAACAAGAGCAAACCTGAGACCTCATTTTTCTAGTCTCACAATAAATCTTTGCCCAAGAGGTCAACACAGATAGAAGAATTAGGAGAAAGTCAAAAGCCACCTAATCTGACATTTTATATTTGGAGAAAGTAAATAATCTGGAAGATAAGGAGTCTTCCCAAATGTCTTATGACCAGCAAGAAGAATGAGCATGCAAGCAAGTTTTCCTATTATCTGACCCACCACTTTATGATTTTTGTCTACAAAGTCTTTAAAGAGAGGAACCCACATCCTTGGTTCTGATGCAGAGTGACTGAGTCACTGCCCGTGTGGTCCTCAGAGGTCATTTATGTTCAGTAGAGGATATGGAAATCATCTGGTCACCCATAGAAGTAATTGCTTTTCCTTTTAGACACATGGTCTAAGTTGCTGCTGAAATTTTAGACACACAAGCCCAGGTCTGGGACTTGGCAAGTGAATAGTCCAGATGGGAACTGTTGCTTGACAAATTGAAAGTCCTTTGTTTCAGAATGAATTGAACTAGAATGAAGGGGGAGGGTTAATTGTGGGATCCTTTTAGCATGTGTGTGTGTGTGTGTGTGTGTGTATATGTGTGTGTATACATACATATATACGTATATGTATGTGTGTATGCATATATATATATATATATTACAAATTACTGCTTACACTAAAAAATAGCCTAGATTTATCATATAACAAAATGATATTCTCCCAAGCAAAAAATCTATAAATAGAGCTATTAGAGACTTCTTTTAAAATACTTATTTAAAGGATATCATTGTAGTATTAAATATCTCTTCAGGATTGCTACTTCATCCCTAGACAAATTTATGTGTTTAAAAAGTAGATCAATCGAAGCAGATCTACCCACTTGCATTTATTTAAATAACTATTTTAAGAACAGTAAGCCCAAATTCATTTAGAAGAATGAAAATGTGAATGGCTGGTGTTAGCAAGAGAATCAATACTTATTATTCATACTTGGCTCTGACAAACTATTTTCATATCAAGAGCTAGAATTAGTAGAAATAACAGAAGAGAAATGTATAAGGAATAAAATTGACTTGTCTCAGTTCATAAAACAAGGCAATCCAGGGTAACACAATGATTCCAAAAGTCCTGACTTTTGTTTCCCTGATAGATTTGCAGGCCACATTTGATTTCTTTCCTGCATTTTGAAACATTTGCTACCTGATTGTTCTCTCCCCAAATGAATTCAAGATGATTATACTTAGTTACCTTGGAAAGGATCTTTTATGTAAAATATAGTTGAGTGTTTCTGCGTTTCTTACAGCAATCTTTCAATGCAGAATCTTTTGATGATTATGCATGTGCACAGCACACACTTTTTTTTTCTTTAGTTGCTTTTCCTTTACTGTCTGTCCAGTACAGGAGGAATTTGAACTCAGGGCCTAGAGCTTACTCAGGTTCATGGCTGGCTGAAACTTCCCTACCTGAGCTAAACCTCAGCTTTACTTTGGAGATGGAGCGTCTTGAATTGTCTGCCCATATTGGCTTAAACCAAGGTCCTTTACATCTCAGGCTTCAGAGGATCTAGGATTACAAACCTGGGCCTAGCTTTTTTTGTTTTCTTATTGATACAGAGTCTTGCCATTCCATGTGATCCAGGTTGGCCTAAAACCTGACATCTCTCTTTACTTTGCCTCTCCCAGTGAGTGCCAGCTATCAGTACAGGCTGGCATATACCATCATAACTGACCAAGTTAGTTGGCTGTTTTTCAGGAAACTCTGATCTGTTGACATCTTTACCTTGCTTAAGCTGAAGAGCCCTATGGAATCTGACACAGGTTCCACTGACTCTTTCTCAACAATAGAAACACCTATATGGACATACCAGTCCATATATGCTTTGGAATCAGCCCTGATGAGATCTGAAAGTATATGAGGTACTGCTGTTCCATCCTTAGACAAGCTTATGTGTTTAAAAAATATATCATTCTGGAGCTGGGAGCTGGTTGGTCACACCTATAGCTCTAGTTACGCAGGAGGCTGACATTTGAGGATCCTTATTTGAAGCTAGCCTGGGCAGAGGAAGTCCATAAGACTATTATCTCTAACCAGCAAGAAAAGTACCAGCTTTGAATAAAAAAGCAAAGTGAGAACATGAAACCCTGAGTTTAAGCTCCAGTATCACCACACCAAAACCAAAACAAAAGAAAAATACTCTATCCAAACAGATCTACTCTTTTACCTTATTAAATAGCAAGCTATTTTAAGAACAGCAAGGCCAAATTCATTTAGGAAAATAAAAGGGTGAAGGGTTTGTTTATTTATTTATTTATTTTTGCCAGTCATGGAGCTTGAACTCTGGGTTTGGGCACTGTCCCTCAGCTCTTCAGCTCAAGGCTAGCACAATACTACCACTTGAGCCATGGCACCACGTCTGGCTTTTTCTGCTTATGTGGTACTAAGGAATCGAACCCAGGGCCTCATGCATGCAAGGCAAGCACTCTACCACTGGAATACCTTCCCAGCCCTGAAGGGTTGATAGCAAGAGAATCTATGCATATTATTTATACTTTGCTTTAGCAAACTATTTTTAAATGGCTAACTGGAGTATAAATATATTTGATAATAGTATTGTAGTTAGCTAATGAATGAAAATCAAAATTAGATAATTAGGTAAATAGCTTTCTAAAAATATACTGCATTCATTCAGGTACCAGTGGCTCATGCCTATAATCCTAGCTATAGGACACTGAGATCTGAGAATAGTGGTTTGAAGCCAGTCAAGGAAGAAAAGTATGTGACACCCTTATCTCCAATTAACCACCAAAAAGCTGGAAGTGGAGCTTCGGTTCTAGGAGTAAAGCTCTAACTTTGAGGAAAATAGCTCAGAGACAAAATAGCTCCAGGCCCTAAGTTCAAGTATCAGAACTAGCATAGACACAAAACCAACAAACCAACAAACAACAATAACCAAAACCTTGCAGACATTTCTAGAATAAAACTATCTTTCTGGAAAGATATCTGTTGTTGTTGTTGTTGTTGTTGTTTAATTTGCACACAAATTTGAAGACTTAAATCTTGTTCTACCTCTTGTTGCATTACTTGCAGAACTGGAGATCAACTCCAAGGCCTTGCACATGCTAAACAAGTGTTATACAATTGATTCACTCTCTCCAGCCCCTAAACCCTATTTTCAGCTCCTAACTGACAATGTTTTTGGTTTTGTTTTCTCTTTTCCTGCTTGATACTCCTCAGGCTTTTACTTAATTCTTACAGCATCATAGCTCTGTGTGTCTGATGCAAACAAAGGCCAATTGTTCTTCTTTAGTGAGGGTAGTATTGGCATTCCTTTTTCAGTCATAACATAGTTAAATAACATAATCACTCACACATCACACTCAGAAACATGTCCGTACTCATTTATATCTTTACTAGAAGTCATCTTCTATAGTATTCTCTGCATTCCTATGTTTTAATAGAATTTTACAGCTCTCAAGACCTTGGTTTCTATACTTATAGAATATTGGCTTATTAATAACATACTCTTCTATTTGTAGATAAAAAATACCACTAAAGCCATATATTTTTGTGGGCCATATATCTTCATATACCACTTATGCTGTTCAGAGCTGCTACTGTGCTGTTTCTTGCTAACGCACATAAATATATGGAAGCAAAAAAGAAAAGAGTTTGGGGTATGCTCCCTACAACTTTAGAAACCTAGAGAATGGGGTTCATGATGTTTCCTTAACAAAATAGCAAGGAACATGCAGTAAGTGGCTGGAGAGCAGGTACTGCCTGCAACGGTTATGAATGATCAGGACATCTTTCAGAACAAGAGCCTAAATTCACCCTCTCCAAGATAGCTGCCAGCCATCAAGGAAAATGTCTTGTTATTCCAGAAGCTTAGGATAGCAAGTGAGCCCAGTTTTGTTTTATATTTTCATAATTATGTAGGGCATAGTAGAAAAGTATGGATTCACTAAAAAAAGGATAGCCCAGTTCCATTTTCTAAGTACCCTTGTCAATGTTATCTGTAGTTGAGAACTTTTGCACAGCATCAGGAAAGTGTCATTTCTTTAGTACAAATAAAAATAACATGACATTTTTTTTGAGCAACACACAGATGCATCATAGTTTCCTTTTCTGTTTGCTTTAAATCGTGGATTTCTTAGATAATCTGGTCTAACTTTGTCTCCTACATATTATTTTAATTACAAAGAACTGGTAGGATGTTTGGATTTAGGGATAATGTTAGAAAGGAAGAAGTTAAAGGTTAATATAAATTGTTCTACAAATACAGTTGTCCCTGAAATTGACAAGAGTCATTCTGAGCTGAGAGAGGGCCTCTTATCAATATTCCTCAGGAGGAAGAAGAAGGTGAACTTTGCCTTCAGATTCAAGATTAATTTCCCTGTGTAATTGATTTAACTATAAGTAAAGTTAATTTTTCTAATAGGCATCTTCCTTTTGTAGTTTTTCATTTAATTTTATAGAAGAGAAAGGAAACATCTCCTGTAGATGAGACTTTCATTACTTCATTTATAACAAAGTACTACTTAATATGTAGTTTCTTAAGATGGTACATTCAGTGTTGCAAGTGAATCTGGAGACCAGAGAGATTCTTGCAAAAAAGTTTAAATTTTTTAAGTGTAATTACTAGAATCTGAGGAATTTACTTCTCTAGCTGATAAATTCATGCTTGGGAAGCAAAACTCATACTGCAGGTGTAAATGTAACTTAATGAAAACAACATTAATGCCCTTTTTCCTGCATACATGCTTTTAAATAGTTTCCTACATATGAAATATATTGATCAGAATTGCAAAGCAGGCTTTGCTAGATATTGAGATTTTAGTAGTCTGCTTCCATCAAGTAGAAGAATACTAGAACCATTTATTCCACACTTAGACTTGGAGGTAGCAAATGCCAACGACATTATTATACAGAGCTAAGCGTTTGCCTTTGTAAATATCTGCACGGAGACTTGAGAAACTCATCTGAATCAATAAGAATCCTCACACTACTCTGAGAAAGAAATATAAGGGGAAAGAAATATAAGGGGAAAACCAGGCACCAGTAGATTATACCTGTAATCCTAGTTATGCAGGAGGCTAAGAACTGAGAATCACGGTTTGGAGCCAGCTGTGGCAGGAAAGTCTGGGAGACTCTTATCTCCAATTAACCACCAGAAAAACAGAAGTGGCACTATGGCTCAAAGTGGTAGAGTGCTAGCCATAAACAAAAAAGCTCAGGGACCGCACTCAGGCCCTAAATTCAAGCCCCATGATCAACAGAAAGAAAGAAGGGAAGAAAGGAAGGAAAGAAGGAAGGAAGGGAAGGAGGGAGGGAGGGAAAGGAAAGAAGGAAGGAAGAAAGGAAGGAAGGGAGGAAGGGAAACAAAGAGAAAGAAACAAAGAAACAAAGAAGAAAAGGAGAAGCTGCTGGAAAATGTGAGGACCAGATTAAAAGGCTTAGGGGCACTCTTCCATATAATATTTAATTTAATGTAATTAATTTAATTCCATATAATATTTAAAATTTTAAATTTTATTCGACATCACACAAGAGCTTGCCAATTTCATTGTTGAAAGTACAAGGAGGCTTTAGGTTTATATTTTCTGGCCTTCTCAGTATGATTTTATATGTCTCCTTCCAGAATGAAGTGTCTATGTTGAAAAACGAGGTGGCCCAGCTGAAACAGTTGTTGTTAACACATAAAGACTGCCCAATAACAGCCATGCAGAAAGAATCACAAGGATATTTAAGTAAGTCACTGTACTTATTCACTTTCTTTCAGTGTCAAATATCTTTTTGCCAGTAATTTTGCATTGAATTCCATTGAAAGAGCAAGGTAAAGTGTAGTATCCAAGGTGGATATACTGGAATTCTTGAGTGTCTGCCAAACTCTTCTACCATGGGACCCCCCTTTCCTGACCCCCATTTAATGTCATGCCATCACTTCTGGCCACACTTTTCCTCGCATTTCACCTTGCAAAAGCCCACTAAATTCCAAATTTGCAGCCAGAATAGCCTGCTGGGGGCCTGTTCGTCTCCTTGAGAAATCTGTGGGCTGAGAGCATCAGTGGATGAATCACTGCCAGTGCCTCACACTACACCATGTTACTCACTCAGCTGTAAAACTAGTGTCCTTTTCTCAGTTTACCCCTGCATGCAGTGAATCTCTTTTACCTGGCTCCCATACCCCTGGGATGTTCATAGGTTCATGTTGGTGCCCTAAGGGATGGTGGGAAGAATGATGATTCGTGGCTGAAGGTCAATTTATTTTTGAATAATTTTTTAGATTGAGCAACACAGATTCTCCCAGCACATGTGAGTACTTTCCCCACATTTGCTATATGGATGGCTATCTGAAAATACACGCTGGGGAAGTTTACATGCCAAGACTCAAATACATCCACACCTTTTGCTGATGGAGGATACGTGACTTTGCTCCTAGCTATACACCTGGAAGGCGTAGCTCGGTGACTTCTGTTTAAAATGAATTTTTCACCTTAACTGCCAGAAGAAAATATGTGAAACTCTTCTATGTCAAGTAAATGTCGAGTAGTATTTGTGCTTTTGTTTTCTATGAGGAGTCCCTAAATCCACACAAGCAAGCGCTATATTGGTGTGTGCATGTGTGCTTTTTCCTAGGTCCAGAAAGTAGCCCTCCTGCAAGTCCTGCCCCGGTGTGCTCACAGCAGCAAGTCATCCAACATAACACCATCACGACTTCCTCTTCTGTCAGCGAGGTGGTGGGAAGCTCTACGCTCAGTCAGCTTGCCACGCACAGAACAGACCTGAATCCCATCCTTTAAAATGCACGGGTTAGACTTCGCCTCCAAGAAGAGCTATAGCATTTACCACGCATCCTTTTCTTGTAAGGGCATTTTTAGAATTAACTCCAACCTGGAAGACGCCTCAGCCCTTCAAAGACTGGCTTTCATTTTTATAGTTATTATGGAAAAGTTGTCTTTTATACTTAGTTATATAAGAACAAAAAGGGAGTTATGCAAATAATATCTATCAGCTTGGAAAATGCTTTGGTGCTTTTCTCCAATTTTCTGGTACCAGTTACTTGTTTATAAATGGAATCTATTCTGTATATAGCCATGGTTTCATTCTTATCCGTCTGACTGTTTTCTTGACACAATGAAACTTAATAAATCACAGCTTTTAGCCAAAATAAGGCATACCTAAATATCAAGTGAGATGGAATCCAATGTAACTGGGAAGGAAATCTGATGACATCATAACTCATGTTGAGTTTGTTCTATGATGTCACCAGAATCTCAAATAAACACATAGCCTTTCTGATAACTTTTTTTATCTTATTAAAAAAACATGATTCTTTGATGTCCTAATAAAACCACCAAGCATCTCAGCACCCCTTCCTCAGCTCTTGGTTTACTTGCTCAAGTGTCTACATTTCCAATCCTATTTATCTTGGGCTTCTTGTTTCTTCCTGATTGTAACTTTCTTCTGTTTCATTTCTCTCTTCTTTAGTATTGCATGTGAAGAAGAAAATAGTGTTTAAAGAAACTAAAAAAAAAAAAAAGAGCAAACCCTGAAAATGTGGACCTATCCATTGCTTTGCTAGCCTGTAACTACAGCTGGAGTTCATTCAACACTTACTTTTCACAACATAGTAACCAGGAGATGTTTAGTGTGCCTGATTTAATGTTTTTAATAATCAGAGCAAATAAAAAGGTGGTTTAGTTATAGGTGAAACACTGTTGAATGCCAGCTGTGGAGACACTGGGGAAGGGAGCTTTGTAAGCCCCGATTGTGAAAGTTCAAATTATGATACGGGGCTATAACATCGCACCCTTGAATTACAACTGGTTTTATATGGCCTGTCTATAATGTCAAAAATCCATGTATTGTATAATAATTCAGAAGGGCTCTATTCACCACACAGATTATATTGTTCAATCATCAGCTTCTAATTGCCTAAGATTTATTCTTTTTTCCTAAGTCTATGGAACCAGCAATGCTGTTCAGGTGGGTGAATGCAGATGAACTACTGGAGAAACAAAGCAAGCAAGCAAGCTAGCCCAAGGTTTCCATGGGATGTTCTAGGTCTGCCAGATAAGAGCAGTTTCTTTGGCTACTGATGGAATCCCATGGATACAGCAAAAGCTGCTCCACCCTTCTGCATAATTCTCATTTATGTTTTTAGCAACTTCAGTGGACTTGCTTATTATGAAAAGTAGCTAGGACCCAAACCACAGTTGTGCCTCCTTGAAATAAGCCATTCTACTGTGCTGGTGTTTTAATATCATGTCTCATAAATAATACGGACTAATGTTTCTTGCTAGCAGTCTAGGCAGGTGCTGGTCTTTCATCTCCATCCTGATGTGTGCAGGCTAGTGTATGTGTATGTGTGTGTGTGTGTGTGTGCATGTGTGTTTTAAAAAACAGTATTTTACAAAAGGTGTCATTTTTATATGAATTCAGGAAAGGAAGGATTTTTTTTCACACTGTAGTTTAAAACTCTATTTTGGAGACTAAAAGTAGGAGGGTGGAGAGTTGTGAAGCATGATTTTCATAACTAGTTACAGTTTATCCAATAGCTTACTTTTTAAATCAATATTTAGCAACCATCTTTCCATATATGCAGTGCTTTTGAGAGACAGTTTTGAGTGCTCAGTAAAATGTAGGACTTGAATATATGATCTAAGCAAACAGATGCTATGAAAAAGGAGAAAAAATAAATGAAATAGATTTTCTATTGTATTTTAGACAAACATATCATTTTCAAGTATTTTAAATACTGAATTCATATTTTTTTTAAATCCAGCAGTAACAGAATGGTTTAACCAGATTAGCTTCCTTGGGGATGTTTAAGACTTAACTTTAAAAGGAACTTGACATTTATAACTGTTTTGAAATAAAACACTTTTTGGGAAAAGTTTCTTAGAACAAATATGTGCTCCTTTGAGAAATAAAAATGAATGTTTGAGTTTTTAATTTTTAATTTTTATTTTATGTTTTGATTTAAGTAAACAAACTTTTCTTTATTTACTGCATGCATAGCACTTCATGAAATGGATTTTTTTGTTTTAAAAAAATCTACTAGGAATATCAGAATGTCCAGGAAATAGCCTATCACTAAATTGATTTAGTTTACTGAAATCCCAGCCCTTGATTGAAATTTGTAGCTGTTAATGTGAATGCTTTTGTAGTTAAGAACTTGCCTGAGGTTTGGGTTGTGTGTGAGTGTGTGTGTGTGTGTGTGTGTGTGTGTGTGTGTGTGTGTGTGTGTGTGTGTGTGTTTCATTTAGCAACTTGACAGTTTGACTGATGTGTATTATTTATAGCTTAATTATGTCTGTTTTTTATGCTAAGTAGGCAAGCCAACCACACACATTAGCAAACCTTCCTCACCATATAATTAGAATAAACTGCCTTCTTGTTACACTCAGAGCCTTTTAGGTATATTCACAGTATGGAAAATACTCAATGAAGATGCTAGCTAGTTTTCAGTGCTTCTTGAAATCCCAATTGGAGAGATTCATTGATTAAACCCAACAGGGGAATGTGAGTAATAAGGATCTCACTTAAAGGTCCAGCCTTCACCCAATCAGCCAACCTGCCTGCAATGCCCTCTTATATGTTTTGTCCATTGATGAGGTCATCATGTTAACTTCATTCTCATTCAGCTAGTTACTCTGTCACTCACAGCACTGGCCCAAGGAGGGAGATTTTTGAAGTACCATGTCTTCTCACTTGTGTGTGGCTTGCTTTATCACAAGATCTGCCTCGGAAATCCCTGCCAGTCTCCTGGGCACTTCTCCAAGGCCTCCCTTCCTGATACCCTGGAAGCTAATGACTTAGTATACCTGAGAACATTTCTAACAGGTGAATCCTCACTCAGACAGAAGCATGCATGTCCTAATTGTTTCTCTTTAACATATTTCTCAATGTATGATGCTGAGGCAGGTAGCGTGGAAGTTTTAGCCATGGATGAATGTACTAAATTCAAAGCCAGGTGTTTGGGCAGATAATTTTTTTCTTTGCACTCTGACATATCCTTTTCCAACCCCCATATCAGGGTATGCAAATCACCATCTCATGACAGCCTGTAGATGCCTAGCTGTGGGTGCTGTTAAAATATACATAATGAAAGGACTCTGGGAAGTTACCTTGTCAAGAAATAAAATGCACCACATTTTCTGAGAGAGAGGTATCAATAGTGAATGTGAAGATGGTTGTTTTATTTAAAAAAAATTTGGTGAGTTGAGTTTATCTTTAAAATCATCAACCAGCTATGGTAAAAGACCACCAGCCTTTGACTGGATTTTATTTTTTGTAGTAACGATAACTGCTATAAAAACCATCTAAGAAAATATGTTTGTATGTATGTGTGTATACAGTGGAATTTAAGGACCAAAGCAAAAAAATTGGACAGGAATCTATTAATTTAGAATTTTAAAAGATATTTATTAATAAATATTATTTTTAAACATTCCATTTGAACAGTATTCTTCTGTAGGATCTTGTTTTTTTAAAAAAAAATATTAGTCCATAGTGAATTCTTCTAGATGTGTGTTTTCATTTTTATCAGGGTTTAAAATGGCTGTGCTTCCTCATTAGATAGAAATGTTTGCTTAAATCTCAGAACAATTTATTGCTCTGTGAGACATTTGTTCATATACATTCTAAACAAGTTTATTTTTTAACTTTTGGTTTTCTCTCTACTCTTCTTTCCTTTTTTCCTTCTTTTTTGTGTTCTGGGCATTGTGCTCTCAGTTTGTTGTTGTTGTTCAAGGCTGGCACTGTACCATTTGAGCCACACATCCACTTCCAGCCTTTTTGCTGGTTAATTGGAGATAAAGAGTCTCACAGGTTTGTCTGTCTGGGCTGGCTTTGAACCAGGATCTTTCTATCTCAACCTCCTGAGTAGCTAGGATTACTAGCACCTGGGTCTCTTCATTTTGAAAGTAAACATTTTCACTTAGGAAGCAGAGTTCAGCTAAAGGGAATCAGTCACTATAACTGGAAAAGCTTTCTTATAATCGTGTAAATACAACTTCACCTCTGCTTCTCTCTACTGCTCCCCAATCTCCTAGGAAGCCTTGCACTACTCAGCTTTCCTTACAGCTGCTTGGCCCTTCCCAGACAATGTGCAGTCGTGTTAAGCCATTCAAACTCCAGTACACAGTGTAATTGAGAAGGGAAACGAACAGCCCTTCCAATTTGAATAGAACCGTGCCTATGCGAACAGTAGCAATTTAGAGCCTCTTTTCTGCTTTGAGAATAATTTATATTTTTAAATTGCACTTTAGCTTTTTAAATCTCTTTCCATTTCTCTTACTCTCTTTCTAACTTTTTCCTTAAACTTGCCTTTGCTTCTCCTTTTACAACTCTCCCAAGGCTCTGAGCTGCATCCTTTAACGTACTTTGTAAGAATCTTTGCACCAGGTACAATTGTGTGTGTTCATGAGTAGTAAAGCCAAGACTTGCTCTTCACATCAGCCTATGTGAAGCCTGCTACAGGAATGCCAAGAGCCAGTACACTATGTTTTATACTCGTTATCCTTTGTTCATAGCATGTTTTTAAAAATGTTATATTATGCAACAGATGTGAGGCAGCAGCTAAGCTACTAACTTTTCTATCTTGTCCTTCAAACCAAAGTGTCCTGAAGAAACTAGGATACATCATCTGTGCATTACTGCACCTGTGATGATTGTCCTAGCCAGTCTTTCTGAGTTCTCTGAAGTTAACAGTGAGCTCTACCCATTCATTCCTAGGTCTGAAAAATTACGATGCCTTGTGACATGATTAGGTACTTTACAATTATAGTCTAAGGAAGGATCAGAAGACATAGGAGCAATAAACTTACCAGTAAATTCCTATACCAAAACAAGCATACAAAGAAATGTTTTCAAAACAAACTCCTAGCTCATCGTGTGAAAATGAAAA